GGAAAGGAAAGGAAAGGAAAGGAAAGGAAAGCGAGGGTTAACCGATGGTAAAGGGACGGGAGCAGGTGGGAATGTAGAGAAAGGAAGGCAGCGCGCGTGGAGGCGGAGACGAGAATAGAGCGATCGACCGTGCAATGGACCGAAGCAGCGGATTATCGGATTAACCGGTATATCCGGTGTGCGTAGAGTGGGCAAGGTATACGCGGACAGGCTGGTTGGAAGCGGTACGCGCGCGCCAACTATCGTTCGTCGACGGGGGGAATTCGTCCCTCGTCGAACTGGATCTACGTATCGCTGTCACAGGGGGAATCTAACACATGTCCCATATTCGGTAGGAAAATTCTCGCCGAATCGACGATATCTCTGGGCACACGTCTGCGACTTTTTCTCCGTGGCACGGAACGCGAGGTCGATGCTCCGGGCCGAGCGACGGAAAAACGAGCGAGAGAAACTGGAGGATATATTCAAAGGAGCGCGCGCGTGCCCGAGGAAACGCCCGTGAAAGTATTTTCCGCTTTGTCGCGTGTCGCGTCGACTCGCTACGAGTCTCGCGTATACGGGCTTAAATAAGCCGAACGGCGAAACTGCCGTTTCCTCCTCGGCTATCCATCGAGCTGGGGACGCGAATACATCGACAGAGTTTTATCGGCTTACCAAACAAACGGCAAACTTTCCCGTCGCCTCGTCTACTACCACCTCGTCTACTCCCCTCCGTCAATTTCACCCTTTTTCGTTAGCTGTTCTCGTCGCGTGAAAATTCCTCGCCGAATATACGCGCGCGCGCGAAGCTCGGAGAATGCAATTATGTGTACGAGCACGCACGGCTACAAGTATCGTAGATACTCTCCTTATTCGTGGTGCGTTTCAGTTATCGAACGATATAATAATAATAATTTCTCGTTCGCGTGGTCCTCTCTGCTTTCGCCGTGGTCCTCCCTGCAGGGAGCAAGATTAATCATCGTGGGCACGTTCTCGAACGACTCCCGGCCTAGCGAAACAGCGACTCTAACGGGCCGTAAAAACTCGGATGCCCGTTTCGGTAGTTAACGCGGACCGAATGGCGCGCGAAACGACTGACAAGGTAAAAAACAAAGAAAAAGTGGATTTTTTACCTGGCTTCGAAGATCGCGTACAAGCGGCAGGTGTAATCTGCGAATGGGAGAAATTAGGTGGGTGTTTGCAACGTATACACCTAAGTACATATTCAGGTTCTTCTCGAGAATTTGAAGAGAGCAGGAAGGAAAGGTTTGCCCGAGAAGAAGGCTGGCAGGCACACACCGAACCTTTGTTCCTTTGTCGCGCCTTCTCGAGAAAACTTCCACCTCCCTTAGCACCTCGCTCGAGCATTCCATGCCGCGTTTCGTCCAATTTAGACTTGTGCGTGCCGCAGGTGCTTCTGTTTCCGGAGGAGGGCTGGGCGAGAAGCGCGAGCAGTTCCTACTGGACTTTGACGCCGTTCTGGTGGAGTCGAAGTCGATGCAAGGTGGTTGAAGTTGCTGGTACCAGGAGGTGAGTTGCCGAACGAGGGAAGAATCGGTTTAAAGACTCGTGTCGCGGCGATAATAGCGTTGTCGCGACGACGTTAACGGGGTCATCGGAGGGGAGGACGCACACGTACACCGTTATGACGTTTTGCCATAATCGTATTCCTGCCGCGAACGAAAATTCGTGCTTTTAGGTTACGTGTCTGGAATGCCTATGACCTGCTTGCCGCGCTACTAGCCGAGAATTACAGGGGCGATGCATCTGCAATTTCAGTAGGTATCCTCTTATTTCCTCCTCGCAAACTATTCCCTCGAGTTCGCGCTCCATTTTCCACGCATTTCCACGGATTTCGACGTTCCGCCCTGCCGATTACGGTTCCATCGTTCCACCTCGAGTTCCTCGAGTTTAGCGACGCTCCTTGCTAGACGCGAAAAGAAGGGAAATTGGAAGGCTCGAGTGCAAGCTAGTTGCAAAATAGTTGCGGAATAAGCGTTCGTTCGTTCGTTCGTTCGTTCGTTCGTTCGTTCGTTCGTTCGTTCGTTCGTTCGTTCGACTCGATCGATCGTCCGAGCATCGAAGAACGGCTAATTACTTTCAAAACTTGCCAAGAGAGGCAATTAATCGAGAAACTGATTGGCGGCGGAGAGCGTCGAGTCGCGTGCAAACTTTCCATTTACGACAACGATCCTCCAGTCGAACGACACGCGTCGTCCATCGGCTAATTGCACCTGTTTCGTGTTCGCGCGATCGTCACCTTTCTTCTTCTCGAGAACAAGAGAAAAGGAGGGCGAAAAAAATTGGAAATAGGTAGAAATGTTGTGCTCCATAACAGAGAAGAAGATAGAGGAATTGGCCGTAGTACATATTTACTCGAGCGCAAAGAGACGAGCTTTCGTAAGTGTTCTCCGGCTGGTAATTTGGTCGTCGGTCTCGCCGGCGGCAGCGAGACCCCGCGTTAAGTCAAGGCAAACAAACTGCCCGGTGAATCCTCGATTGAAACAGCGTGGAACTTTCGTACGCTGAGGCAAATATGTCGGTGTTTGCGAGCTCGGGCCGTGTTCGCACGCGACACCGGTCAAAGTGATTCGCCGCGTTTAGTCTCCTCGCCTAAACGAACCGCACATACCTTCCCCGGATAACACGTACTTACAATACTCCCCGAAACTTTCGGATCACTTATTAAATCCGGATCGCTCTTATTTTCTTTACGGTACCCACTTCTAGTCTAGGTAAACTTACCTACGTAGAATATATACGGGCCGTTTGAATCCCCGTAAAAGGAAGGCGGGAGGGAAGGAAGGAAGGGCATTACATGTGAAAGAAAGAAGATCAACGTCGATTGAAATTCGCGTTCGGTCCATGTTTTATTTAACAGTAGTCGTCGCGCGACATTGGCGTGATTTGAGCGATAAAGCGACTAGACGAATAGGAGGAACGAGCGAGCGGGCAATCGGTCCCTGTATACATATATGTACGTGGAGCATCGAAAGGGTGCTCCCTCCGGCTCGGAACTTTCCTTTGTGAAGCGAATCGAGGACCGAAGGAAAAGTCAAAGCAGCACCAGCACCAGCACCAGCACCAGCCATGGTGGATTTTAAACCGAGTGTTGGATCCGCCGCACTTCAATGGAGAGCGTTTAAACTTTTAATGATCGTCGCCGGCTGAAGCGCTCGCCGGAATAAGCCCCTCGAGTCACCGGGGAGGGCTGCCCTCTCTACCTTTCTCCCCCTCTTTCGCTTACCCTCTGCCCTTCTGCTTCCGAAAACGGTCCAGCCGTTCCTGCGCCACTTTTTCCCTTTCGACTTCCTCCCCCTCTTTTTCTCTTCTTTTCTCCTTTTCCGCCCGACCTTTCTTCCCTTATTAATTATTCTTGGCTCGTTTCGCGCGCACGAGTCTACGGCCAAGTAGCGGCACGTTTTATTCTCGTTTCGCGATTTTTCTCCAACCCTGCCAGTCGATTCGTTTAATCGTCGGTAACGCTCTTCTAGCCATCCTTCTCCTCCTACTCGTGCAAGGTGTGTAGGGGCGTGCGACGTTAATCGCATTACCGATTTACGAAACGCTAAAGCGCTTACGGAGAGGCGAGCAGGCGCGTGTTTTTCCGCGAGCGTGCTGTTCAGTGTCGGCGACAGCTGGAAAACGTTCACCCGTGAAAATCGGCCCGCGTTGTCCCCTTAATTTATCCGAAACGTACGCTGCGCGTCCGATCGCCGCGATTTCGTCGGTGCAATTGCTTGCCCCGAATAAATATCACCGCACGCGCTTTCCTCACCGCCTCTAAAAGCCCCAATTGAATGTTTCCCGACCTGTATAAATCGACAAAAGTGACAAGCACCGTTAATAAACGGGTCGAAATTGCGTTTTCCACTTTGTCGCGTCTCGTCGCCGCACCGCCGCGCCGATATCACCGAACGCCAACGCGTTACTCATCGAATTAACGCTATTTCAGGTACAGCACTCAGGCAAAAATGGTGGACACGGGAACGGGCACGCTTTACATTATCGGCTCTTTCAAGAGAATGACCACCGATCCCGATTTCAAGGTATCGCTTCTTGGTATCGCCACCAGCAGCTTGGTATCTCTCCGCTCCCGCGAACGTAATCGCGTTCCAAGTTTAAACGACGCCCACTCTTTTCTTTCCACCGGCAGTTGTACCTGACGTCGAACGTGTCGTCCAGCGACTTCAACATGGGTTACAGTATGACGGGCACGTTGGAGCGTGGCTGCAAGAAGACCAACTCCTTCCAGATGACTCACTTTGCGGTGATTCGCCGGCGTGACTACGAAAAGGCCTACGAGGATTCGAATCCCACCTAGTGCCCGTCCACACCCACGCTCTCCGAGTGTGGGGATTGCGAACACTACGCGTAGAAGGGGTGTTAACCGAATTAAACGGCGGCCGTTATGTCGCCTCCGCTTTTCTCTCCCCCCCTCTCTCTCTCCCCCCTCTCCCACTCCCCCCCTCTCTCTCTCTCTTCCTCTTTCTCACTCACTCGATCGATCGATCGATCGATCGATCGACCGGAACGAAAGATGCGAGCGAACAAACAAGCAAAAGCCAAAAACACGTCCAAAGGTAGCGTTTAAAGTTAGGTCGAATTAAGTAGTTTTTAACTAGCGACGAACGGTGCCGAAGTTGAATATAAAAAGCAACGGTGATCGCGGAAGGCAAGGTTTTCCAAAGTATTAGCACGTAAGTTTGCGCCGGTGAATCTCGCAGGCGATCAGTTTTCCTATGCGCCCTTCTTTCGTGGTACGCGCTGCTTCTCGTCCATCGACGATCGTGCCCCTCCATCGGAGGAGAACGCTCGAAGGGCCGATCGTCTCGTGCTTCTCGCGCTTTCGATCTTCATCGCGGCGATCCCCCGTTCGGGTCGCGGGAAGTAGTCGCGCGCTTCCACCAACCATTATCGAATCCTCTCCCTCTCTCCTTTTCTGGTACCGAGAT